GGTCGTTCTTTTCCTCTTTTCCTTTAGACAGTGCTATCCTACTATTAGTGAGTAGGTAGCCTTGTCGTTGGATGTTGAGGGACAATCGAAGGGACATTTTAGTCATAAAGGCAACATATGGAGACGCTTTAGCAATTTCGTTTAAGGGACGAGATCATTTACCGAAAGGCAACGCCGTAGGGTCATCGAGGGACTATGATCTTTTTTATTTTTGCGGGTCTTTGCTAAAGCGTCCCCATTCTTGAGGGATGTGACTGTTTTTCCGAAAGGCAATCGAAGCGGGGATACCCTAGAGGTGCATATGTGCATACGTGTTGAGATTCAATTAATTTTGTCTTTTTATTAAGTTAGCTAACGTTTTAATTTACAGTCTTTCCATGCAATCCTAATTACTAACAGTAATATTGTACAGGAAACATAAAGTACATAAAATAAAAAGCAGAAGCATAAACCCTAAACTATTACAGCACTTTATGACAGTTACATAAAAAATGCAAGAGACTAAGAGTGAGGAATTTTAAATCTAAAGCTATTACAACTGTGAGCAGTTACAATAAAATAAACGCGCGCTAATTTGAAAATAACTTCTAATAATCCTAAGAATAAAATCTTTTTTTGTTGTTTTTAGTATAAAAGAAAATAAGCATAAGTCTATTTAATTTTAATTTTAAAAAATGTTAAAATAATTAATTAATTAATTGACAAAATTAATTTAATATAAAAAATTAAGCCTAATATTTTTTAGTGATTTTTGATTTTAATATTAAAATAAAAAGAAGTCAATAGAGAAATGAACAAAAAAAGTAAAAATACAAATAGAGGCACCCTTCGATTGCAGGGAAAGGTGGGGGTTTCGATTCAGAGAATGTTGACTTTCGATTTAGAGATAGACGGAGTTTTCGATCCAGGAGGGATGGGTGTCCTTCGACCCAGGGAGAGATGATTGTCTTTCGATCCAGGGGTGGATGCTATGAGGACAATGAATCTGTAACAGTATGCTAGCAAAAATGAAAAGCATGACCTGGGTGCTAAGCCCAGATCTTTCGATCCTGCGCACGGTGGCCTTATTTATGCTAGATCTACAACAGGTGTTAGAAGAAAACGGAAACCAACACGGGCCTGGGTACCACACCCAGACCCTTCGATCATGAATGAAAAATCGAATGACTATGATATGCAAAAAAAAGTATAGAATTTGATTCCTTACATTTCCCTTACAAACAGTGGTGTATGAGTCTATGGTGATGGGTGTGGATTCGAATCTGGTATTCTTTTGGATTGGGGATGCCTGCAAAAAATATATTTTCGATTGGGAGCACTCTGAGTTTTAAGTTTTTTGATGTGCTTCCTAAGGCAGCGTGCGTGTGTAGTATCTCCTCCTGTACTCTCTTTCGTTCGCCCTTTTTTTTCCGCCCCCGGTAATGTGTCTTTGGCCTCATATTTATAGGAGGGTGTTGGCGCACAGTAAAGGTAAGAGACAACCACTTAAACAAGCCCTTAAAGCCACAAGACAAGAATCAGATAAATTAAAAGCATTCATTTTTTGAAACATTTACGTCTCTTTGGAAATCTTGGATGAACCTGGACACTTGACTCCTTCGAACACCCTCCAATGTTTCTCTTCGATTGGCCTATGAGTTGCCTCCTTTGAATGGACTTCTCATACACCCTTCGAATGAGTCATCTGAATGCTTCTTCGAATGGACCTCTTATACACCCTTTGAATGAGTCATCTGAATACTTCTTCGAATGGACCTCTTATACACCCTTCAAATGAGTCATCTGAATGCTTCTTCGAATGGACCTCTTATACACCCTTGGAATGGGTTTTCTGAATGCATCTTTGAATGGACCTCTTATACACCCTTCAAATGGGTCTTCTGAACGCATCTTCGAATGGACCTCTTATACACCCTTTGAATGGGTCTTCTGAACGCATCTTCGAATGGACTTCTTATGCATGCTTCGAATGGGCCTTCTGAAGGTTTATTAGAATGGACCTTTTGGAATGCCAATTGAAGGGCCTTTGTCCACACCAATCGAAGGGTACTTGGTTAATATGCATGTCGAAGTTGTCTGGTTTGAGATGCTAAATCGAAGGGGTCTTTGCCATGCCAATCGAAAGGCTTGTCATGAGGCCAATCGAAAGGCCTTGTATCCATGCCAATCAAAGGGATTGGCCACCATGCCAATCAAAGCATTTTTTAGAATGTCAATCGAAAGGCTTGGCCATAATGCCAATCGAAGGGCTTAGCCATGAGGCCAATCGAAAGGCCTTGTATCCATGCCAATTGAAGTACCTTGTTGGCCGATCGAAATCTTCGTTCTGCTCTCTTCGAGTTCCTTCAGTCTGGACCAATCGAAGTGACATTAAAATGCCAATCGAAGACGCCTTTGTTCAGATTCAAATTGAAAGACATTGCCAAGGTGCCAATCGAAGGACACTGTTACAATGCCAATCGAAAGGTACTTAAGACACCATTCAAAAAATTCATCTTCCTTAGGCGAGGGTTTTTGACCAACCATGTAGGGGCAGATCTTGGAAAACGTGAGAGGGCAAATTTTGGGGTACAACAGTTAGCATGTTCTTTTTCTGAGTCATCTTCTAAGAATCAGAATCATCCCAGGTTGTCATCAGCCATTTCTTCTTACTCTTGAGATCTTTCTTCTTGGGCACGTCCTTTTGAAGTTTAGGACAATCATACTTGTAGTGTACTGACTTGTTGCACTCATAACAAGTGACTTCTTTGCCACTAGACTTTCTTTGACCATAAGTGGACTCGAAGCAAACACCAGTCTTTCTAGTACTCTTGAACCTGTTGCCTTGATTTCTCTTCCAGAGACGGCTAACCCTTTTGGAAAACAGAGACAACTCATCTTCAACTTCATCAAAATCTTCTTCTGAATCCTCAATCTCTTCAGCTTGAAGAGCTTTGGACTTCTCAGATATTCTGACAGATTTGAGCACAACAAATTTTTCTCTCTTTTGAGGTTCATAATGTTCTAGCTCAATCTTGTGACTTCTCAAAGAACTCACTAGTTCTTTTAGAGAGATGTTGTTAAGATCCTTTGCCAACTTGAGTGTAGTTACCATAGGCCTCCATTTGGATGGAAAACTTCTGATAATCTTCTTTATGTGATCTCCCGTTGAGTATCCTTTGTTCAGAACTCTCAGTCTTGCAACTAAGGTTTAAAACCTTAAGAATATAGTCTTAAATATTTCATCATCCTCCATCTTGAAGGCTTCATACTTCTGAATCAAGGTCAAAGTCTTGGTCTCCTTGACTTGATCATTTCCTTTATGACTCATTATGAGAGAGTCAAATATAGACTTATCTGAGTCTCTATTTGTGATCTTCTCTTACTTAATATAAGAAATAGGATTCGGCAAGATGGTTCTTGCTTTATAATGATTTTTATAATCCATTTTCTATTGATCAGTCATAACTTTCATTTCAAGCTTATTTCTAACAACATCTGTGGGAGGATCGTAGCCATCAACTACCATATCCTAAAGATCAACATCATGACATAGAAAGAATCTTTCTAGTCCTTCTTTCTAATATTCAAACTTTTTATCATAAAAAATAGGAGGTTTAGCATTGTAGTTATCTTTATCCTTTGAAACTGGAGCATGTGGTGGTGGAGTAAGATCAACCATAGTGTTTCTAAAACTCGTCTAGATCTTTATCTGACACGATTAAGTGTTTGATAATAATCAATAGCAGAACCGGAGCTTTGATATCAATTGAAGGTGCGAGAAACACAAGAAATGAGAGTTTGAATTGGGTTGCACCAAATATAATTTTTTCACAACTCAAACACAAAGCTAACAAGTGAATAAAAATGAATGAACACAATTATTTTTATCCTTGTTCACTGTTAACTAAGTTACTCCATTCTATCCCGCAAAGTGATTTTCCTTATCCACAAGAACTTAATCCACTATAATCCACTGATTACAGACGACCATAATAAGTGTGATCAACCTTGTTGACAACCATAATAAGTTCGTCGATCTTTATTGCCAATCCACAATGACCACAACCAAAGTCTTCTTGAGAATCCTAACTACACCTAGACTCTCAAGGAACCTATCAACAACCATTGATTACAAAGACGTGTATACAAAGACGCTTCTAATAAGCAGATTACACAATATTTAAGTATAGCAACACAAAAATGTTGATAGAAAGAGACATACGAGTCATTTCCGTCTATTCTGTTAGTCAAAGTCTATTAAAAATCTATGTGACTGTGACAAATGGATTTGACCAACTCTTACGATAGAGTTAGTATTAGAAAAACCAACAATAAAAATTATTTTTAGATTTTTGAATTTTGTTCTTAGTCATTTTCTTAATTGTTTAATTACAGTAACTAATTGTTTGTAAGATATTTTTTATAAAAATATTAAATAAAATTTAAAATTTTTTTAAAAAATATTTAAATATATTTTCGATTTTTTAATTTTTTTATTTTGCTAGTCATAACTTTTTAATTTAGATAGTTTAAAACTCAATCTTTTATACATTTATTTCACAATTATTAAGATTTTTTTGTGTGTCTATTTTATAGATAAGGCCAAATAATTAAAATGATTAAAATATGATACCCAATATGCATATAAAGTAAGAAAAATAAATATTTAGTAGATTTGTTATAAACATTATAATAAAAAAATAAATAAAGAAATAGTAAGAAAATAATAAAATATAAGAAATAGTGGGGCCATGAGCACGAGGATGGTCCCATTTTGAAAGACATATTTATTTTATAGTCGTTCTAGGTTCTCCCTCCCGTCTCTTGCCTCTCTTGACTGCTCTCCACTTCAACGGTTCAATTCACTTTCACACTTCCAATAACCCAAACCACCAAATCTTGATCACCATACACACTTCTCAACCTCTTCCAGGTACTTTCCTCTGCTCTTTCAAACACTTGAAATTTAAATCAATTCTATTTCATTTTCAATGTTTTGAATTTTGCAGAAGGTGGTAATGGCTTACATGTGTGCAGACAGTGGTAACCTAATGGCCATCGCTCAACAAGTCATCAACCAAAAACAGCAACAAGAACAACATGACCAACAACAACATCATCAACATCATCAAAATCTCCTAGGTACTATCACTAACCCATGGAATCCCAACAACAACAACAACAACTCTGTTTCATCACTTCCACCTCTCTCCTTCCCACCAACCGACTTCACCGACCCATTTCAAGTCGGGTCGGGTCCCGACAACCCCGATCCCACTTTCCACTTCCCTCCCCTCCACCCCACCTTCCGTTTCTCCGATTTCGATTCCGAAGACTGGATGGACACTCTAATGGCCGCCGCCGCCGATGACACCCCTAACACCCACACAGACTTTCCTCTCAACCCGTTTTCGTCCTGCCCGACCCGACTCTCTCCACCCTCGGATCTCCTCTTACCCGCCACCCTTCCACTCCAAAACCAGACCCCAACCCATCCTCACAACAAAAACGACACCACCGAAACGACATCCTCATTACCCTCGTCCACAAACCCGCTTCTCAAATCACTAACCCAATGCGCACGCCTCATCGAAACCGAACCAAATCAAGCCGTGGAAACCCTAAACCATCTCAAAAAATCAATTTCACAAAACGGAAACCCAACTCAGAGAGTTTCATTCTATTTCTCACAAGCTTTAACCAACAAAATCAACACACACTCGCAACTAGCTTCTTCACTTTCTTCTATTTCTTCAACTACATGGGAAGAGTTAACGCTTTCTTACAAAGCCCTAAACGATGCATGCCCTTATTCGAAGTTCGCACATTTAACTGCAAATCAAGCTATTCTCGAAGCAACCGAAGGTTTCAACAATATTCACATAGTTGATTTTGGAATAGTTCAAGGGATTCAATGGGCTGCACTTTTACAAGCCTTCGCAACTCGTTCTTCTGGAAAACCTAACAGTGTAAGAATTTCTGGTATACCTGCTATGGCTCTTGGGATTTCGCACGTCTCTTCAATTTCTGCTACTGGTAATCGTTTATCTGAGTTTGCCAAACTTCTAGAGTTGAATTTTGAGTTTACGCCCATTACTACTACGCCGATTCAGATGCTTAATGAGTCTAGCTTTTGTATTCAACCCAATGAGGCTTTGGCTGTTAATTTCATGCTTCAGTTGTATAATCTTTTGGGTGAGACTTCGGATTCCGTTGAAACAGCGCTTCGTTTGGCCAAGTCTTTGAATCCCAAGATTGTTACTCTTGGTGAATATGAAGCTAGCTTGACGACGCGTGTTGGTTTTGTGAAACGGGTTGAAACCGCTTTTAATTATTTTGCTGCTTTTTTCGAGTCTTTGGAGCCAAACATGGAGGTGGATTCTCCGGAGAGGTTTCAAGTGGAGAGTCTTTTGCTTGGTAGGAGAATTGATGGTGTGATTGGTGTGAGGGAGAGGATGGAGGATAAAGAACAGTGGAAAGTTTTGATGGAAAGTTGTGGCTTTGAATCTGTTAGTTTGAGTCATTATGCAATTAGTCAAGCTAAGATACTTTTATGGAATTATAGTTATAGTTCTTTGTATTCTCTTGTTGAATCTCAACCTGGGTTCTTGTCTTTGGCTTGGAAAGATGTTCCTCTCTTGACTGTTTCTTCTTGGCGTTGATTTCATGAAATGGATTTTGGACTCAAATTTGGAAATGGGTTTTTTCCACCTAGTCTTTTTTCTCTGGTGTGGAAGGAACAACTATAATTGTCTATATGCCGATGATGATCAATGCTAGGAAGGAAGTTCTTCAATTTATGATGTTTTGCTTGGTGAAGAAGGTATGCAGATTGGATGTGTTTGTTATCAGCACTTAGCTTAGCACTGCAATATGCAATACAAGATTTTGGGATGCATTTTTATCAGTTTAATCTTTTTTTGGGTCAATTCATTTTCCTTTTTTTGGGTGGCATATTATAGTTTTGATGTTGCTGTAGTTTTAGATGATGTTTTTATTCAGGTTATGAACTTGAAGAAATGGGAAGGGAAATGCTTTCTTTCATGTTGTCGCTAGTCTTGTAACTCTGTAAATTTGATTATGTTGTAAGGGGTTTAAATTTCTCTAAATATCAAAAAGGTTATTTTACTTTACTTTCTGACCATATCAAAGTGGTTTTTTTGTTTACTTTCTGACTCAGTCAGGGGTTATAATTTTTCTCTCAGTATCTGCAAGTTGCAAATCTGCACTCTTAGTTTGTCTATGCAAAATAGATTCATTTTCATCCAATGTAAATGCAGTTTCTTCCCAACTTGGCTGATAATTTATTAATTTCTATCTGTACGAAGTGATTATGATTGAGGAAAGTGTCAGTGTATGCGTCACACAGTCTTCTGTGTGGCACTTGATTGAAAATTGAAGTTCCTTTTTCACTATGTGCTTCTGTGATCGGTAAATGACGTACACACAGTGAACTGTTGCATGGAAACTAGTGGGGTGGTGACTGATGACACACTCTTTCTTCTGCCAACCTATTATATTGCTCATGCACAGTCAATTGAGTGAAAAAAATTACTCAACTTTTGCTTTTGGTATATTTTTTTTCTTGTTTTCACACCATCTGAATAAAGTTTGTTTCTTTTTGTTTAGCAAAGTAGTTTAGTGCTGGTCTTTGCTCAAGTAAATGGGCCATATGATATAATCAGTGGCTTTGTTTTGTGTCTCTTTCATATGCTGCTTCAATCAAGTTGTTTGTCTTCATCACAGGATAACAGAGACGGCGAAGATAATGAAACAGTAGTCTCTGTTGAGTGTGTTTGTAAAACGATTGGCCACAAGGGTGGTGACAAGGAAAGACTAGCAGTGATGGTTTTCTGGTGTTGAGTGAGTGATGATGACAATTCAAGTGAATAGGACATTTTCTCTTTGAACTTGATGTGGCAGAAGGGTCCCATAAATGTAGACTACACTTTGTGAGGCTTAGATTTGTGTCCTATTCCCCACTTTATATGGCAGAGTTCGTAACTCAAAACTCGTAGACGCAACACCACCATCCCTCATCTAGAATCACATTACCCCCACTTGGAATAAGTGCTACTATTCAAGTGAGTTTTACAATTGTATGTTTGAACTCTTGGTGAAAATTTGGTAGAATCAACGTGATTTCAAGCATGCAACTCATAACTTTTTGTTAATGAACAACTTAAGTTGTTGCTAAATTGAAACAATGAATGTTGAATTGGGACCACACAGTACTAGGATGAATTGTGTTGCTTTTCATGGTTTACTAGTCACATCATGAGCAATCAAATCAAATTAAAACACGGGGTGTATGAATTGGAAGGATGGAAAGATATGTTGGAAAATGGTGCATGGTTTGTTGATGCAAATGAAGAAGTGCTTGTACACGGAAACGTTTCATATGTTCTGAACAGTAGGGACTGGTGTCTGTATTCGTAGGATGGCACAGACAGAGTGGCCCAACCCTATAGCAAGTATTCGTAGACCTATGCTATCTTCGTCTCATAGTCTAGGGACTTTATTTTTCCTTTTTAATAGTAATGACTCATGTTTAGGGGACTTGTATAATTATAAATAACTGTTATTTTCATTAAATTCTTGTTATTTTTTAATTACGTCATTTAATTATTACTTTTTATAATTTTTTTAATATATTATTCTTTCTGTTTCAAAATAAATAAGTGTTATTTTAGCAAATAAATTTTATTTTAAAATAATTATTATTTTCACTTTTCAATTTAGTAATGATTATTATTTTTTTAATTGTATATTTTTTTCTCTCTACAATACTTCCAACACATTAATATAGTTAAGGAAAAATTTATGATGCAGTCACTAAAATATTTTTATTTGATGAAGTCATTAATTTGGTCAATGAAAAACAAACTCTAACTTAATAAATACTACATAGGATTATATGATACATTATTCTCATATTTATTAATATTATAATTAAGTCCATATCATATTAAAAATGATAAAATTAATAATTTGAACATCAATAATTTTAATTGTTAAATTAAAAATTAATTAAAAGTGCCAAAATTTTTTGGATGAACAAAACTTCATCTTTTTCAATAAAATTTCATTTTTTTTTCTTTTCTCTTATGCTAATTTCATAGTCAACTCAACCTCAACTCTTTTCATACTCAATCTGTCATTATTAAACGAATTGACCTTGTCACCTTTCTGTTCGTGCTCAGTTTATGCACAACTTTATGCTCATCTGCTATTGTTGAATGAACTGGTCTATGTTATTCTTCATAACACTACATTTAATCGGTCATCAAATAAAATATCACAAAAAATCTACAAATCGTAGTTTCCTTGTGTTCGTATTGGGGTATTACATTTGATTTTAATTTGGGAAATAGGGTTTATGTTTGGATTTGTTTTCTGTATATGGGTATTTCAATATGGGAATTATGGATTATGCCTGAATTTATTTTCTGTATGTATTTCAAATTTAATGATTTCAATTTTGAATTTTCTTAGTTACATTTGATTTTAATTATGAAATTATATATTGTGATTGATGTTGAGTTTTGTTGTGTTAAAGATGTTTTAATTCAGGTTTACGATGGTAAATTTAGATGATTCATTTGAGGTTGATTCCAATGAAGTTCATTCCACTGATGGTGATACATTTGAGGTTGAATTGAATGATGATGAGGGTGACAGTTATCAAAGCTCAGATGGTGATGTCGACGATGCTGATAATGACGATGAAGATGATTCGGTTGAATTAGATGTAGTTGTATGCGATAAAGGAGTAAGTATTAATGCCATGACTTCTGATGAAATTCGTGCTATAGAATTCAGTTCTGTTAATGAATCTTATGATTTTTATTATAAGTATGGTAAATGCAAATGTTTTTCCATTAGGAAAAGTGATATTAGGAAAAAAGGGCTTGAAGGTAGTAAAATAACAGTAATGAGATAGTTTGTATGCAATAAACATGGTTCAAGAGAGAATAAAAACTTATGTAGGTTAGATAGGAAAAGAGATCACATGCATTTGACTCGTACTAAATGTGCAGTGTAACGCGGTGGGAGAACTGACTTGGTTGTTTTGCGTTTGATCGCAAATGTTGCGGTTAGCAAGAGTCGCCACTGACTTTTCTTTTATCCAAAAGGAAAGACTGAAAAGAACAGAAAAAACTTTTGAGATGTTTTCTTGAGTTCGGAGGGTAGATTATGAAAAGGGACGATATTAGCACCCTTTTCATCCGTAGTTAATTACAAGCTCTTAGTTGCTTTCTAGATCACTTGCTTTTGTTTGAAAATGTGCTTTGTGTGATTTTTGAAAGTATTTTGAAAATGCGTCATCGTTTAGGCAAACTTTGTAATGATTCTCGTTTGTAAGAATGTATACAAAGTGTTGATCTTTTGAAAAAATGTTTCAAGTTTGAAAGATATTTTGAAAGTGTTGGTGTTTGTTATGAAAATAGCAAGGATGTTTTGGTTTGAAAATGAGCAAGCAACTAGGAACATTCTACCTACTCAAAAGTCTTTCTTGTTTATTTTCTCTTTCTTTTGATATTGTTATTTTATCATGGATTGGTAAGTAACCTTATCTTTGGATGTAAAAGGGACAGACATGGGTCATCGTATAGCCATGATTAGCAATGCTGTAAGATATCTTAGCATTTTCTTTAAGGGACTAAGATCATTTTTGAAAGGTGTGATACGGTGGGAGAACTGACTTGAGGTTTTGCGTTTGTTTTCGCAAATGTTTCGGTTGAGCAAGAGTCGCCACCGACTTTTTATTTTATCCTAAGGAAAGGTTAAAAAGCACAGCAAAAACCTTTGAGATGTTTTCTTGGGTTCGGGGAGTAAATTATAAAAAGAGAAGGTATTAACACCCTTTCTATCCATGGTTATCCATGGGCTCTTAGTTACTTGCTTAGATCAAAGGTTTTGAAAATGTTTTGAAAATGTGTTGTGAAGTGTGGTTTTGAAAAATAGGCAAGTATTTTTGTTTTGCAAGTTGGCAAGTAACTAAGAGTTTGTCTACCCTAAATTTACTCAAAGGTTTTTTCTATGTTTTAACCCTTTTAACAATTTTGTTCCACCATTGTATTTGGTGGACAATCTTGTGTTAGGATGTGAACGGGACGGGTGCGGGTCATCGTTTAGACCATGATTGCAATGGTGTCAAGTGTCTTTGGCAACTTTTCCTTTAAGGGACTTGATCATTTTTAGGCAACTTTCGAAAGCGTCATCGAGGGACTATGATCATTTGAATTGTTTTGTTTTGCCAAAGACACCCAACATGCAACATGGCCCATTATTGAAGGCAACAAGCGGAGTAACCCTAAGGGTGCAAGTGTGATTGGTGTTGTCCATTTTCATGCTTTGTTATCTTTGAATTAGGTCAAGCTATTTGTTTGGTTGATTTTTGCATACAAACCCTAAGTCTATCATGGCATATTTAGAAAGCTTTTAAATGCGAAAAATAAAATCCTAAATTATTACAACACAAATTATGGGATGGGGGGTACAAATGTTCAAATGGGGATATTTAGCAAGAGATTTAAATCTAAGCTATTACAATCCAAACGGAATTTACAAGGTATTTAATTGTACAATAATTAAATAAAATATAATAAATATGCAAGATGCAAAAATGATTTTTATATGTATGTAAAAGTATTTTTTA